GCATGTCTTTTACCATGGAAGAAGAAAAATTAGCAATAAGCAAAGGTGTCATATTTGATGAGTCTATTGCACACATTGAGGTGCATGCTCATCAACCATATGCATCTACAACATATAATAATAATGATGAGATACATATCTCAGTTCAACATCAAGATTTATGTCTGTTGCCAAGCAAAAGTTCCCTTCATATTATGGGGAAATTTACAAAATCTAACGGAAATGCAGTAGCAGCAACATCAAGATTCGTTAATATGGCCGTATGCTATTTATTTGAAGAAATACGATATGAATTGAATGGTGTTGAGATTGATCGAAATAAAAATGTTGGTCTTACAAGTCTCATGAAGGGATATTTATCTCTTCATCTAGGTCAAAAAAATTATTTAGATAATGCAGGTTGGGTAACTGATAATGAAAGATTATTTGACGATAATGGATACTTTGATGTTTCGATACCGTTACATATGCTATTGGGATTTGCTGAAGATTATCATGGCATAATTGTCAATGCCAAACATGAATTAATACTTACTCGTTCAAATACCGATCTTAATGCAATTGTATAAGCTACAGCGGAACCTGAAGAAACGATCACGCTTATAAAAATTGAATGGATCATTCCCTATGTCACTGTTGCAGACATAAAAGAAGTAGAATTGTTAAGTTACATTGCAAAAGACCCACCGATTCCAGTGAGTTTCAGATCATGGGAATTATATGAATATCCAATGCTGCCAAACACAGCCAAACACGTATGGGTCGTAAAAACATCAACTCAATTGGAAAAGCCCCACTATGTTATATTAGGATTTCAAACTGCACGCAAAAATGATGCTACAAAAGATGCAAGTCATTTCGATCATTGTGATTTAAGGGATGTAAAACTTTTCCTCAATTCACAATGCTATCCATATAGTAACATGAATCTTGACATAAGTCACAATCAATTTACCTTATTATATCATATGTATAGAGATCTCCAAACATCATATTATGATAAAGAAGCAGAACCTCTACTCACGAAATGAAAATTTATTGATATACTACCACTTGTAGTAATCGATTGTTCTAAACAAAATGAATCCTTAAAATCAGGACCATTTGATGTTCGACTGGAATTTGAATCATCGAAAGCTTTTCCTGCTAACACATCAGCCTATTGTTTGATCTTACATGATCGAATAATAGAGTATAAACCTTTAAGTGCGCAAATGAGAAAACTAACATAAAATATTGTAAAAAATACACATATTATATGATTATGATTATATTATTCATGTATTAATCAAATTTTTTTTGCTATAAATAAATTGTGTATACGAAAAAGATTACTGTTTTCATTCATTTATTTCCAGAGAAACCCGATAGTCGGTAGCGCAAATTTGAGAGAATATTAATACATTGACAAAACTTTTAAAATCAGTTATTTTTGCTGATAGTGAAATTTTTATCGCGGTTGGTAAAAAAATCGGTATTATCATTGAAGATAATTCATTTAGGTCGGTAAAAAAATCGCTGCCGATAATTTATCAGTGTCGATAACTTATCGCGGTCGGTAACTTATCGTCAAAGTTATCGCGGTCGGTAATTAGTGCGGATCAGAACCAACTTTTTTGACTTGGCCGGTATTGCAGAGTGATTCAGAACCGGCCCTGCTTATCTACTTTCATCCACTGGGTAATAAATCGATGGCACCATGGAAATACTTATCATAATTCAGAGCCAAATTTTTTTCTAAACTTTTTTTCGCAATTTCTCTCAAGAAAACCTCGCGAGGTAGTCACTGTTGGTTTAGCTGAGGCTTCTTCATAAGAATCTACGTCCAAAATGACGAACCAGGTATTTTTTTCCAGCGGAAAATCTTTTTAAAAGGGTAAAAGTCGCCTCTAAAGTTGACACCCTATGAAAGTGACTTTTAATTTTTACATATCTCTAATCGAAATTTTCCAAAACGACCTTTTACGTTAAAACAAACATAAAAAATAATGGAAAATACCTTCAATTATATCGTTAAAAAACTTAAGGATATACAATTCTTTTAGTAAAAATAACAAGAAATCTATAACTCAAAAACTATTAATTATTCGTAATGGGACCAATTCCAGTCGGAAGAGTCAAGAAGATAACAAGATACGTGTCTTTGCAATTCTTAAAATAACATCGAAATCGATGTCAAAAAAAATTTTCCCTTTCTTCCCAGATTTGTATCAAAATGAAAAAGTCAAATTATTAATTTATTGTACGTATTACACATAGTCCAAGAGCAGTATGAATTTCCTATGCATGAAATTCAAAAGAGTTGGAAATATTTTTTGAAGACAGTTTTTCGTAGAGACTGAGGAAAAGAGCATTTATACCAAATTTCATTGTTTGAAAATGACTTTTATTATTGTTTATTAATTATTAAAATTTCGCGAAGTGCATTTTTTACGTACTGCTTACTCAGCGAAAACTGTTAGTTTTTTCGAAATAAATGTAAATACTTTTTGTAGAGAATTCGATTGAAATTATGTTTTAGATAATTGAATAAGACAAAATTAATTGATGGATGAATATAACAAAGAAAATTATCATTAACTAGCTATTACCCGCTCACTTTACTGGGCTTATGTCAAAATTTAATAGTGTGTAATGTCTGAATGTATTTCAATTATTTCACATGATTATCTAAAATATATTTCAAGAGAAGCTAGAAATGAATAGCAATAAAACTTAAGGATTGAAGTTAACGCTCATTACTTAAGTTATTTTTCTTTGAGTTTTCCTAAGATTCCGTTAAAATAGAAAGGGTTCCGTAGAATAGTTAAGGAAATTATCTTTTAGATGTTTTATTGCTTTCGGAAAACCCACGTGGCGAAAAGCAATAATATTTCAAAAAAAGAGTGCGTGACGTAGAAAGAGCGTTAGCTTTCCAAAAAAGGAAAGACTATGCGAAGGGACTTGTGCGCGCCTGAAGCAAAGGAGTTCTAATTATGTCACATTCGACTAAATAAATACGTAAGGTTTGATGCATCAGTCAGTTGTCGAAAAAGGAAGATCGAGATCCGATCGTCGTGGAACATCTTTTGAAATCGTAAGTCTTGTTTTGTCTTGAACATTGTATTGATAATATTTCGAAGTTTGTAAATTTTTGTATGAAGTTTATTTGATCGTTAAATTATTTTTCAATTGATATTTTAATTGATTCACGAGTAAAAGTGAATATTGCGCTAACTGAAATATCGACTGAGGATCAATTAATTGTAATTCATCTTGACCAGAGTAAAAGGAATCATCTGTTGGTAACGTTTAAATTGTTGTTATAATTTTTCAATAGTTATTTATTCAATCCATTTTGTTATTGTTTTTATATAAATTACATATTTTTACTTTCTCTATCATATCCCCTCAACCCTGTCTATTGGTCGAAAGGCTAGGACTGAAAAGAGGAACTTAAAGTCTCTAAGGTTAAGCATATGATTTACATATTGACACCTTTAAAGAGCAAAATTATATAACACTCTTATCATTTTAGATAATATGAATTTTTTAATTTCACGAAAAACAATACGATGAGCTCTTTTAAATAGTAGTATTTACGTTAGAGATGCTTTAAAACGGATATCATTAAATTGTAAATTATTTTTATCTAATCATGCCCATTTGTTAATATCGGAATCATGGACTATCATTCCAGAATTGATAGCAGTTTTAAAATTTTCTAACGTATGTTTGAAAATTTTACCTATTTATTCTTTGTATATTTCTCCTTGGTTGAATTGATGTGCCCAGCGTTTTAATTATCGAGTAGACTGTACTTCTCTAAATTTTTGCTTAACACTATCGGTATTTAAATTTTTTTTCTTACCACTTCGCCAGTACTCAACTACTCGTAGTTTATAATTATGACTTAGCTCTCTTTATCAGTAGTACATGCTCCATCAGACACTTTTGGTTCATGGATTGCAGATGCATATTCTTCGTCTTCCATAACTTCTCGTTCCCAACCCTCATATGGTCCTTTAAAATTTAATGAATTCTCCTTCTTTATTTCAATATCAGTATACCTATTTATTGCATTCAATAATATTTTTTAAAGTGATTCTTCAGTTGTATTTCAGCATCATTTACAGGTGTCTCCATAATTTTCATAGTTTGAAATGTTGTGAAAAGTAATCGAATAACATTTAGGGGGTTAACTTTCATTTTCAACAAGTAAGAATTATATAATTTTTAGAATAAAAGAAAACAATATTTCTATTTCAAGCACACGATTTTGTACACATATAAAATAATGACTATTAACCAAAATTCAAATGAATACAAGATGCAAGAATATCCATTAACTACAGTATTAAAGATGGATGAAAAAAAATATTGTTACAATTTTGTGAATGATTCAAATGTGCCACATTCGTTAAAAATGCTAGCATTGAATAATCGGTATATTGTAATTACAAAAATGATTTTTCTCAAAAATAGTTTATCAGTGACTATGATGAAAATTATATCCATGTTTGTTCATATAAAGATAACAAAAAATAATATTCTGACTAATCATAAACTATTCAGTCTCTTATTACGACATATTATGTTCGGTGATTATTGTGAGTATAAACAATCAATCAATAATAATTAAAAATTTTTGAATTGCGATTTTGTTTACCATCGTTAATGTTGTTTTAAGAATTGCAAAGACGCGTATCTCGTGAATTTTTATTTTCTTTTGATTGGAGTTGGTTCCATCAAATGATAATGTTTAGTTTTTGAGTTATAAATTCTTTATGATAGATCTTTTCGAAAAAAAGGAATAGTTTTATCAGCATCAATTACAACAGAGGGCAGAAAGGAGAAATACGTAGTTTACCATTTTCGACTTAGATTATTACATTTAAGCCTCAGCTAAATTGACGGTGACCATCTCGCGAAGTTTTTTGGTCAGAAATTCTTATGATATTTCCAATTTTCTTGTAAAAAATAACTGTATTGACTCATAACTATCGATATTTCTTTTTCAGGGAAATGAATATAATGAGAAAAAAGAAGATTCGACTCATTTCAACAATCATGACGTTTTGAATAATCTTCTCTCATCGGACGCTCAGCTGTCGGAGTATGTATAGAGAATATCAAAATATCTCACAATAATAAAATGAATCCGATAATAATGAGAAAAATTTAATTTCCAATGAATTTAATTTAGATTTCCATTGAATCGTAATTTTAGTAGGTACATCAAACGTGTGTGATCGTATTTGCTTGTTTAGTATTTAAAGAAATATTTATCATAGCTACGCATGGCTTTGTCGTAGTTAATCGCCCTACTGATGAGCAAATAAGACATAAAAAATCAAGTGAACTTTTTTTTTTAGCAGTTTTATTATAGTGATCATAATTCAATCAAACGATTTAACGCTATGAGTTGTTTTCGAGGCTACTGTTTGATTAGAGTTATCAAATGTGACAATAACTATTACACAGCTCTAAGCCTCGTGCTATGATAACATTCTGTGACCAAAGAAACGAAAAAATTGTAATTATCTGTTCTTGGTCATCCGTAACATAAGTACTTACAAAAATATTAGGGCTTTATAGTAAAAATAAGAACGTACGAAAAACTGTGAAAGTACGAATAAGGAATTATATATTATTGTACTTGACAATACTCGAACCGCAAATCAAAGTACCTTACCTCATCTAAAGTAGCGGTAGATGCTCGGCACCAAGTGCACATTCACCTTCTCTCACTCTCTTTTTTTCTCACTAGCGTGCTATTTCTTCCATGAGCGTTAAAGCTACCTACTACTCTATACACGAAAAATTTGGTGCGACATCATCAACGCATCTTTATAATTGCTACATATTATGCTTCTATATTTAATGAGTAGTTATCTAATATCATAAGCTTCCGATTAAACGTCAAACAAGAATTTTTCTTTAAATGTTGACGGAATTATGAATAAGCCACACCCCTAACAGTGATATTTCTACTATTCAAGATTTTTTCGCTTAATGTTTCACTCTACTTTATCGAGCACTCTATCATGTGTTCTCTCTTACTGAATGTGTCTTTTATCACTTACTTTCACGTTGGGGTCCTTACAGTGCCCTCTTCTTTGCCTTACGTATTGTTATCACTCTCTTTTACGCTAACCTTGTAATATTTTCTTCTCCCTTACCTAACCAAGAGACATCGATGTTCTGAATAATAAAGGATGGTTCTCGCGTGTTGTATATCGAGTTAAATAAATTTTTTTTAGAAATTATTGGTAGTAAAATGAGGAAAAAATTATTTGTAAAATAATTGTACCAAAAAAATACTGTTATAAATAATAAGAAGTATTTTCCGCGAGTTACATATCAATTTTAATGGATTTTGTTATAAATTAAGAATGAAATGATGTTTTAGATGATTGAATAAGACAAAATTAAGTGATGGATGAATATAACAAAGAAAATTATCATTAACTAGCTATTACCCGCTCACTTTACTGGGCTTATGTCAAAATTTAATAGTGTGTAATGTCTGAATGTATTTCAATTATTTCGCATGATTATCTAAAATATATTTCATCTGTTGGTAACGTTTAAATTGTTATTATAATTTTTCAATAATTATTTATTCAATCCATTTTGTTATTGTTTTTATATAAATTACATATTTTTACTTTCTCTATCATATCCCCTCAACCCTGTCTATTGGTCGAAAGGCTAGGACTGAAAAGAGGAACTTAAAGTCTCTAAGGTTAAGCATATGATTTACATATTGACACCTTTAAAGAGCAAAATTATAGAACACTCTTATCATCGTATAATTATTGTCTATCGTTTAGCCAGCCGGCATTATGCAAATTGTTTTCTTTTCATAAGACTTGTAAGAGCGAAATTTTTGTTGCGATCAATTTCTACTCCATTGAGTTTATGTTGAATTTCTTAAAATAAATAGCATACAGCTCTATTTCCGAATTTTGATGTATCTGCGACACCTTTGAAGAGCAAAAATACATAACACTGAAAATGAAAAGAATAATCTAAAAGGGCTTCAACAAGGACCTATATTTTGACTGGGGAACATAAGCAAACAATAAATAAAGGAGAGAATATTCTGTTTGTAATATGAGTCAGGGACAACGACTTCTTTTATTCATCTATTCAACTTGCAGAAATATCAATAATCTGGCTTCCAACTTTCGACCAATTTTATTACATCCACACTTAAACCATTGGATAAAATATATATCCAATTGTTAAGACGGATTCGATTAGCTCGTCAAACAATAGCTCAAAGTTTATCAGAAAAATCTGTAAAGGAATTGAAGCAGATTAAAGAGAATCAAGAAAGCCCTCAAGTGACTGAAACACGGTATCCTTTAAAAACTTGAGACCGCCTCCTCGTCATATGACAACTCATCAGATAGGGTCGAGAAGAAGGGGGCAGTATCGACACAGCATTTAGCAGCAAAGGCTATCCGCTTACCGGAAGTATTCGAGAAAATCGACGGGTTTGACTTACGAGAGAAACTTGCGTTACTATCGGTGAGTACGTCAGCAGGCAGACTAAAGATGTTTGTCCTAGCTTGAAAAGAATTTTTCTCTGACAGTAGTCTTAAAATGGCTTGAAGGTTATGTTATTCCATTTACCCAAGAGTCAGTTCAAGATGTAGAACTGGCAGAAGGACCTTAGTAAATAGACAAAAGAAAGCAATTATTAGAACATATTAGTAATTTAATGAATAAAGGAACTATTGGAAAACTCACAGAATTTGAAATGAATTTCTCTCCAGCATTTTTTTGATTCTAAAACCGGACGGTTTAAGTAGACTAATACTTAATTTAAAACAATTAAATAAATTTATTCGTACAGAACGTTTTAAGCTTAAGAATATTCGGACAGCTCGGGATCTTTGGACGCCCAATTGTTTTATGAAATCACTAGATTTAATGTTTATATTTATGAAATTGAGTGTTTGCCTTTTGGGTTAAATACAGCTCTTTATGTATTTACAAAGATAATGCGTCCAGTAGTTACCCTCTTGGGGAATCAAGGGTTTACTTCAGTAATTTATCTTGATAATATTTTGTTACTTGGTCAGGAGTATTCTGTCTATAGCCTGATATTTTTCTCTCCACTGACTAATTAGACAATTTAAGGTCTCCTTTAACGTAGAGTGACACAGCAGTTAATCATCTACAGTAATGATTGTAAACTCGCCAATCAGCCTAACTCTCATCAGACATTATCAGTGAACTCATTATTAGACGTATCAGTAAACGTTTTGTGTCAAATATCAGTGAATGCTATATCACAAATCTCAGAGAACTCAAGACTGTACACAGATCATTCAAAGACTCAGTTTCAGTGAAGTCATTTTATACAGTTATCAGACAGACTTTCGTATCATTGTTTTCACTTGTTATTGTTATTTTAGTGATTAATAAATCGTTAAGTGTTACTGTTGACTCGTGTCAGCCGATTTATTTACACCTGTTCAACAGTCCTAACTGTCCTAGTATCCAAAAATCCCAAAATATACCGTCCACTCAATTTCTAATTGCCGTCCACCCGTAATCTAGTTTCCATCCTCTTACACTAGCTCATCAAAGTTATAACACACGTTAAATTTAAATCGGTCGTTTAATCAATTTTTGCAGTTAAACATATCTGTACTCCTTCCCTGTCTATTGGCTGTAAAGCTAGGCCAAAACGTAAAAAATACAAGGTTGCGAAAAGGAATTTTTTCTTTTTTTTAATAGAAAAAGGTGTTTGTTTGCACATTAAAGGTGGTTGTCTTATGTCTCAGCCTGCCTCTATTTTAAGCTTTTTAAAAACATCATTTATGAATTTGGTGGAAATTTGACATCAAGACTGTTCATTATACTTTATAGGTTTATTTATTGTCTATGAAGTCTATAGCAATGCAAGCGAATTGCAGATTTTATGGAACACTTTATGAGAGTAATTCCGCAGAATTCCGCAGAGTGGTAAAAAAAAAAAAGAGAAATATATCAAAGACTATGTTTCTGATTTTTCAACTGAACAAACAAATGATGATGTAAGTAAAGTGAAATCATGTAATATTGGGAACGGATACAAACTCTACAATATTGTGTTCAACATAAAAAATGCTACCAGATGTAACAAATATTAATGTATCATTATTGAAAGACACAATCTCAGGAATAAAATTATTATAACAAAGTGAAGAGGCAAAAACTACTGTGAAATCACGACAACTTCAAACAAGTTATGTAGATGAGTTAATTAAGACTGAAAAAACACTACCAATAACTTAGTCTTACAAAATGGATCCAGACTTAGCAAAATTGATAAAAGGTGTAAAGTACGCAAGAACATACAATGAAAATAATTTATGTCAAGAATAAAATTGAGTTAGATTTTTTTATTTCACCATGTATTATCTTTTCAGCATGAAATGTAAGCAGCTGGCCATGTTGATAAATCACTTTATCAGCCTAGAAGGACAATCTTCAAATGAAAGCATCAATCTAATGCTTTCTGAAGCCATCCATTCAGACCTGGCAAACGATCTAACATGGACTGGCATCGAGAAGGATGGTGTAACAACTAAATAATACAGTGAAAAAAAGTAGACTGTATAACACAAAAGTTGGATTTGACTGAAAAATCAATGTATATTGAAATGATTAAAACATGTATTTCTTACAGCCGGGTTATCATACAGAAATTTGCTTGGAAAAACAACGAGTAATGTGCTTTAGGTATACGTCAGCATTGAACTAACATCTGCTGGAAAGAGAGAAATATCAACTAACATAAAGAAGGCCAACATCAAGAATCAAGTGAAAAAGAACAATTTGGATATAGATATTTATAAGGGTTAAAATCTGTCATATTCTCATTGTGTAATATTTTTGTTACACTATGAATAATATATCAGAAGAATACATATAGTGTACAAGCAGATTATCGCGACATCGTCCGCGAACAACCCAATTCCAGAAATCTATCGCAATGTGATAAAATTACTTAAAAGATCAAGAGTAACGGCTCGTTGTTTTCTCATTTAACTGTTAAAAATCGATTACCATTCTCCAGCGTTTATTTCCCTTAGAATCTGCTTTTATAGGAAC